AAAAGTAATGAATATGCGATCCATGTTGTCACCAGCAGAATGGCGATTTCCTGGGTTCTTGCCCTCCCAAAGAGGAAGAATTCAGTCGATAGGCATAGAGCAGTTTTAAGTAGCAAGAGTTCAGTTAGGCAGAGCAAAGGTACGCTCCCGAGAAAGCAGGAGAGCGGGCTGTCTGGAAATCAGAAGCGGCCCCGCAGTGGTGTAGGGCTGTGTTCTGTAGAGTGGTGGTCCCTCCCTGTGTCCTGTGTTATTTGACTGAGAAATCGATTGACAGCTTTAGGTTATATAACTTTCCTGCTAGTATGCAGGCACTTACCCATAAGCACCCAAGCAGAACCCATGGGGTGGGGCGGGGAAGCAAAAGCCGCAATGCTAAGTTATTACAAATGAGGCATAATGAACCCTGGGTTACCTTGAGTCACCTTGTAGGCCTTGGTGCGCCTGCGTCAACCTGTGCTGGCGGTTTTGTCTTGCTTGGTCCTGGTATGGCTGGAAACCTAGCAGTGGTCCTTGACCACGAGAGGGAGGATCTCTGGGCATGCTGCAACCACCAGTGTCCAGGTAGGGGAGGGAAAGGCGAACCGTCCAGGATGGGGCAGGCCCGCTCGTGTGTGACTCGCTATCTTCATCTTGGCTCTGGGCACCCTCTTCAGATCCTGGGCATGAAACCCCTGCATCACGAGAGCTCGTGGCCGCGGCTCCCTGAGGCTCCTGGCGAGTGCCAGCAGCAGGGGAGCTCGGGGGAGTACCCCGAGAAACAGAAGCGGGGGAGGAGGGCGACTCTTGTATCTCTTCTGCCACCGCCGCCGTGGCCGCCACCTCAGTGGCCTGGGCACCCTTGAGACTCTGAGTCTCCCCCCGGGCCTGGTGGCATTTCTCACGGGCACGGCGCTTGCTCTTCCGGCCTCGAGGCATGATGACACAGGTCAGGGCCAGCAGGCGGGAGTGTGCGCAGGAAGGCAGGCAACGAGGGCACCTGGGGGAGGGGCAAGGAGATGCTGTGAGCACCTTCAGCGGGGAGGTTCCTCTCTGGCTTTAACCAAGGCCGTCTCTGCAGGGTCCTTGAGGGCACTGCTTGAGGACCCACAGGGCTCCTGTTCTCCTGCTCAGCCTGTCCCCTGAGACCCCTGTGGTGGACGGTAGAGTGAGCCTTGGGCTACAGGCTGCCAGCCTACCTGAGTGTCACTGGGGTGACAGAAGGGGCTGCCAGTGGGACCTTCCGTGTTCTAGGGCGGGGAGTCTGCTCAGTTCATCTTCAGGATCTTTAGGTGGACGGCAGCCAGGGCCTGGGCTTCCTCCCCTCTGTTGCTCTGCCGTTGACACCTCAGTGGTCCCGGGGACCCATGAGGAGGAAGTGAGTGGTGGCCCAGCTCACTGGCCTGACGGGGAGCACAGTGCTGACAGCTCTGTGGAGTCCTTTCTATCCTGGGATCACTGGGTCCTCAGTCCCTGTTCAGTGTTCTCAGTTGGCTTCGCGTAGGGCCTGGGACCCACCCTTCTGCCCTCTGATGGCTTTACCTTCAGGCTAAGGGTCTCACCTCCCTTAGACCTGATGTAAAGGAGCCTCGGCCCGACTGCCCTGTCCTGAGCCTTCAAGTGCTGAAAGCAGGGGCAAGGCTAGACTCTTTGGCGTCCCCACAGCTCAGCGGGTGGGGCATGTTCCCCTTAGTCGTCACTCAGGGTTCTCAGTTTGACTCCTGGGAAGGCCTGTGGCTCCTGTCTCTTTACCTGAGGACATGTGCTCATAGAAAGGCCCAGCGCTCTCTGAGAGCCAACAGAAGAAAGTGAGGGTAGCCTGATGTCCCACGTCTACCTGTGGTCTCTGAAGGCAGGAAGCTGGGGCCGGCAGGTCCAGGCCTTATTATGCTTGGCCGCGCCGGTCCTCACTCAGGCTCTTCCTCAGTTTGACTCCTGGGAAGACCTATAATTTCTCCCTCTCTTCACCTATTACTGTCCCCACTTCTCTGTCACCCCGGGAGGAGTTAAGGGTTGCCTCTGCTCGGCCTGACATCTCTCCAGGCGTCTCCCAGGACTGACAGCAGGGGAGAGATGATGTGCTGCCCCCATCGTTATGGTTTTCATGCTCCACTCCAGCCTTAGGTCCTCACCCCAACTCCTAGCACAACCTGGAAATTTCCCCTGTGCTGAGTCAGCCAGCCTCGGAGCAAAGTCCTCACCACCCTGAGTCCCCAGAAGTAGAAGTCAGAGTAGGCCACGTGTAGCCACAGCTATTTCTGAGGGGCTTCTGAGGACTAACACAGAGGGCAAGATTCCCCGGGCTCCGCTCTTCTGGGGTTTGTGACCTCCATAGTCCTCACTCTGTCAGGATCTGGGACTCTTCCCTCTACCGACCTGAGTCCTCCAGAGCCGGAGGCAAGTGGGTGACACATCGAACTACCCCTGCCTGGGGCTTCCCAGGGCCGAAAGGGTGGTGGGGCTATGTGTTTGTTCCTCTCTCTTTTCGGTTGGGCGTTCCCCTTGGTCCTCACTCAGAGTCCTTACGCTCGCTCTTCCCGTGACCTAGAGAGGCTTCTGCTCTCAAACTACAGCCTTTACTTCCCTGAGACCACCTAGGAGGATGTGAGAGTTGCCTCACGTGGGCGTGACTGCCTGTGGTCATTCGTGGCCGACAGTAAGGGAGGGATTCTGTGGCGTCCCCACTTTTATGATTTGGGTGGTTCCCTCAGTCTTCATGGTCCTCTGCTCGACGCTTGGCATGACCCGGAATTCCTCCCTGTGCTCCCCTGAGGCTGGCCCCTGAGACCAAGTGCCTCATCTACCTGAGACGCTCTAAAAGGAAAGGCGTGGGGCGCATCATGCCAACATTCCTGGATTTGCCAAGGGGAGGTATCCGGTGGCAGGGCTCTGCTCTAGGTGGAGTCCCTTTATCCTCACTTAGAGTCACTAGATTTCCAGTCTCTACTGAGTGAGGCTGTTCCCCATAGGCCAAGGCCCTCGCCTCCCTGAGACCACCCCCAGTGGAAAGAGGGGGCAGGTCAGCCAGAAAGCTTTGTCCTGGGCCTCCTGGGGCTGACCTCAGGGGCGGGACTCTGCATTCTCCTCTGTTCTGGAGTGAGTGGTCCTCTTGCTCCTCATTCAGGGTCCTCATCGTGATGCCTGACCAGACCCAGGACTCCACCCTCCACTCCCCTGAAGCTGTGCTCCTCAGAACAAAGGCATTACCTTCTTGGGAATTCTGAATTGGAAGTCAGGATGAACCAGATCTGTCCAAAGCTGTTGGGGTCTTCTGAGGAGCAGGACTTTACAAGGCCCCACTCTTCTGGAGTCAGTGGCCCCTCAGTCCTAACTCAGGTTTCTTACCTTGACTTCAGGTAGCATATGGGACTCCACCCTCCCTACTGTCTGCCTGCCAGCCTCAGGCCAAGGCTTTCACCTTCCTGAGACACCAGAAGGGGAGATAAGAGAACTATTCCCTGGCTACCCCTGCGGGGGCCTCTGTGTGGTCCCCTTTGTTATGGGGAGTCCACTCATCAGCACCCAGTGTCCTCACCCTGAAGCAAATTAAGGCCTGTTAGGATCTCCTACTTGGGCGGAATTGGAGATGCTGCCACAAGACCAAGGAACTCACCTCCCTGAGAACCTCTCCACCCTTGCCCCGGAGGAAGAGAAGGGGTACCTTCAGACAGACAGCTCTGCGCATGGCCACGCAAGGGAGAAAGCAGGGTAGACTTTGTGGGGCCCCCTCCTGTTCTAAGGTCCTCACCTTGAGTAACTGTCAGAGGCTGGGACTCCTCCCTCCACTGACCTGAGGACACAGCTCTTAAACCAAGGCTTTTATGTCCCTGAGGAACTTGAAGAGTTCTAAGGTCCACCTTGAGTAACTGTCAGAGGCTGGGACTCCTCCCTCCACTGACCTGAGGACACAGCTCTTAAACCAAGGCTTTTATGTCCCTGAGGAACTTGAGGAGTAAATGAGGAGATCCTGATCTTTTTAGGGCATCTGACATTGCATGTGTAGAAGACCCCATTGTCACCGAACAGTTTTCTTTTTATTCATACCATTCACTTATTCAGCGTTACTGTTACTGTATTCCAAAACGGTGCTTAGGGAACAGGGCCCCTTTTATCCCATGAGATGCATTTTGGAGTGGTGAGAAGAAAAATGAATTAAAAGACATAAGGTCTGCCTTAGGCTGGGAGGAGTGGAAGACTGTAGGCTCTAGACTATTCCAGGCCAGGGGACTAGGCCCAGCAAGGTCACTTAAGTCAGTCTTGTGAACTTGAGAAATTTGCAAGTTATTCACCTATAAAGGGAGTCTGCTAAATCCTATCCTGCGTGAATGTTGGAATGTTATGTACTACCTGTAAAGCAGTGGCATACTCATTAAGAAATATTGGGTTTTTGATGAATGGCAGTTATGATATGATTATTATGAACCCCCCAAACCACCCTCCCATCAGAGTTTATTTTTAATCCAGTAGGTAGCAGAGAATATGCAGTGCACTAGGACAAAACAAACAAATACTCACAAATGAGCTAAAGCAGTCAAAGTATCTTCTATTTCTACCAAAAGAAAGTTTAAACGAAATAAGGCAAACCACGAGTTAAATGGCTTTTACTCTCTGTTTTCCCCATTTTTTGTTTCTAAATATTTTCTGTGGTCACCTTTCACATTTCCATGAAAATCTCTATTGCAGTGCCATGTTTTCTACTTCTGGATCATACAGAAAATATAGATGGTTCGTGAATTTGTTTTACATATACCGAAACTGTAACTTTAGAACTCTTTAAACAGCAATAAATATGCAAGCAGTGTCATTCTCGAATTCATATTCTTAAGAAAACACACTATTACAAGAAAAAACATTTGAAAAAACCTAAATAAATCAATAAGTAATATATGGAAGTTACTAGTTTAAAACAGGAAGATAAATAAGATCTATACTTTGTTCCCTCCACCCCTACTACTCTGCACTATTTAGGAGCTTGTCTGCTCTCTTCCAAAACAAAGTGAGCAAACTGCCCTCGGCCTCCCCCCCTACATGTGGGAGGAGCTGCGGGCCTTGTCCCCGGAAGGGGCTCTGCCCTCAGCAACAGCTGCAGCCCTGGCCGCGGCTCTCACTCCTGCTCTCTCTTCCTCATCTTTCAGAGCCTCCTCATAGAGATCTGGGAAGGCACTGGGGACCGTATCACTGATCTTGGCCAAAATCTCCAGCACTTTCATCTTGCTGGTTTCAGCGTGGGCTCTCGGGCCCCACAGGAACTCATAGCGCGGAGGATCGCTGTTGGGCACCTGGCGGTACGTCAGGTACTTCTGCTGCACGAAATCTTTGCTGATGAGCCTCCTGGGCTCCCCGAAGATGGAGTGCCTCCTCCCAGCATACAAACCCAACGCATTGAGGAACTCCCAGAGCTCCTCCTCGGTGGCACGGTTGCCCTTCGTGAAGATCTCGCCCAGGAGAATCATCAGGAGACCGGACGTGGGCAACCCCGACTCATCACTCGGACTTCCCTCGCTGGGGGGGGCCAGCTTGCTGATGAGTGCGTAGGAGTGACTGCTGGGGTCGACTTCCTTCAGCTCGAGGCCAAAGAGCAGCTCCATGATCTCAGCGGCTCTGCTGAGGATCTCAGGGAAGTGCTTCTCGTACTGCTCGGTGACACTCTCCAGCAGGGCTGCCTGCGGGATGGGCTCCGTCGTCTTGTACTTCTCCCGCAGGAATAGCACCAGCGTCCCTGCCTTCCTGTTCAGAGGATCTCTGCATATGCTGTGAGTGCAAGGTGCTGCCTTGGAGGGACTTTCACTTTTCTCATCTTGGCTCTGGGCACCCTCCTCATATCCTGGGCATGAAACCCCTGCATCACGAGAGCTAGTGGCTGGGGCTCCCTGAGGCTCCTGGCGAGTGCCAGCAGCAGGGGAGCTCGGGGGAGTACCCCAAGAAACAGAAGTGGGGGAGGTGGGCGACTCTTGTATCTCTTCTGTCGCCGCCGCCGCCGCCGCCACCGCCGCCGCCTCCGCCTCAGTGGCCTGGGCACCCTTGAGACTCTGAGTCTCCCCCCGGGCCTGGTGGCGTTTCCTGCGGGCACGGCGCTTTCTCTTCCGGCCTCGACGCATGATGACAGAGGTCAGGGCCAGCAGGCGGGAGTGTGCGCAGGAAGGCAGGCAATGAGGGCACCTGGGGGAGGGACAAGGAGATGCTGTGAGCACCTTCAGCGGGGAGATTCCTCCCTGGTTTTAACCAAGGCCGCCTCTGCGGGGTCACTGAGGGCACTGCTCGAGGACCTACGGGGCTCCTGTTCTCCTGCTCAGCCTGTCCCCTGAGACCCGTGTGGAGGACGGTAGAGTCAGCCTTGGGGCACAGCCAGCCAGCGCTGCCTGGACGGTACGGGGGTGACACTGGGGGCTAGCAGGGGAGGTAGGTCCCCGCGGTTCCCATTCAGAGTCAGGATGACAGTTGTTGCCAAGGCTGCCCCAACCCCCCCACCCCATCCCCTCTGCTGCTCTGAAGTTGACACCACCATCTTCCTGACACCCAGGAGGAGGAAAGGAGGGAGCGTTCAGCCCACCACCGAAGGGTCCTGGGACCCTCCCTTCTGCTGCCTGGTGGCTGCCCCTTCAGAACAAAGCTCTAACCTCCCTCGGACCTGGCAGAGGCAATTACGGGCAGTCTCAGTCTGAACCTGGCAGAGGAAATTACGGGCAGTCTCAGCCTGACAGTCCTTTCTTGGGAGTTTAAGGGTTGACAGGAGGGGAACGGGCCATATTCTCTGTTGTCCCTTCTCTTCGGGGTGAGTGACTCCCTTAGTCCTCACACGGGGTCCTCCCTGGACGGCCGGTGCAGCCTGGAGCTCCTCTTGCCCCGAGGGCCATCTGCTCGCACCAGTGCCGGCACCTCCTTGAGTCTCATTAGGAGGCAGTGAGGGTGACCACGCGGCCGCATGTGGCAGAGTTTTACCAAGCCTGCAGCGTGCGGCAGACAGGTCGAGGCCCTGTGGCTGGCGGCCCCACTGGCCCTCACTCAAGGGCTTGGGCTGGCTCTCGGGAGTGCTTAGGGACGCGCCTTCCGCTGGCCTGCACCTCCCCTCTCAGACAGCAGCCCTCCCTTCTCCGTGTGTGGCCAGAAGGAAGCGGCTGACAACAGGGGAGGGGTTCGGAGGTGCCCTTGCGACGGGGAGGACGGTCCTCGCCCTGACTCCTCCCGTGCCCTGGAAATCCTCCCTCTGCTGACCTGCGGCCAGCCCCTCAGAACAAGGCCCCCTCCTCCCTGGGTCTCCCGCGTCCATCTGTCCGGCCGTCCGTCCGCGTTCGCACTGAGGGAGCCCCTCAGTCTTTAGACCTGTCCGGAGGCTCCCAGGCCGACGTCAGGGGTGGGGTCCGCGTGGCCGCCATTCTGGGGTGTGGAGCCCCTCGGTCCCCACGAGGGTCCCGTCCTTCACTCCACAGGGCCTGGGGCGCTCCCTCTGCTGAGCTGAGCCAGGGTCCAGCAGCCTCAGAGAGAGGCCTTCCTTGCCCGAGACCCCGCGGGGGAAGCGGATGGGCTTTGGGCCTAACAGCCAGGCCCGAGCCTCTTGGGCCGAGAGCAGGGGCGGGGTGGGCGGGGCCTGTGTGGCCGCCTCTTTTCGGAGGGAATGGGGATTGGGGGTGTCCGGGGCGTGTCCCTGCACTTCTGACTGGGGTCACCTCACACCTTGACACCTGACGAGACGTGGCACTCCTCCCGCGGCTCACCCTCGCCGGACGTTAGCTCTCAAAAATGGCCTCGCCCCCACGTCACTTCCGGTCATGTGCCTCTGGGCTCCAGGAGGGCAGCAGGGGTAGGGCTGTGGGTTGGGGGGTGGGGGGTGGTTCCAGGGAGGCCTCCCGCAGGCCTGGCACGAGGGCCTTCCATTGACTCTTGGCAGGTCCTGGGACTTTTCCCTCTGCTGAGCTGAGTCAGCAGGCGTCACACCTTGGCTCTCATTTCTGTTGGCGCCCCCAGCCGGAAGTATCTGGGGCCCTGAGCCTCACAGCCATGCCTTGGTCCACCGAGACTGACAGTGAGGGCTCTTTGGGGCCCCCTCTTCTATGGTGCATGCTGCCCTCAATCCTCTCTCAGTGTCTTCTCTTGACTCCCTGCAGGTGCTGGGCTACCTCCCGTCTGCTGACCTGAGGCCAAGGCCTCACATCAAAGACATCAACTCCCTGAGACTGCTGGTGTGAAGTGCAGGCACATCTCATGTGGACACTTCTGCCTGGAGCCTCCCAGAGATGGCTGCTGCAGGTAAGATGAGCTGAGGGGAAAGGAGGCGAGACTCTCTTCTGTGGTTTGGAGCCCGTCAGGTCTCACTCAGGGTCCTCACATTGACTGCTGGCAGGGCCTGCGATTCCTTCCTTCTCTGGTATGACTCCATCCCTGTCTCCAACCATGCCCCACAGAATCCCAGAGGAGTTAGTGAAGGGGCGTCTTAGCCTGACACTTCTCACTGTGGCCTCTCTTTGTTGACATCAGGGGGCATTGCCCAAAAGTTCAGAAATGAATATCTGTCCTTTTGTACATCTACTGTGTTACTTGCTTTTCTGTTTTAGTCCGTGTGCAATAGTCTATTAAGATGATCACTTAAAAAGCCAGTTGTCATCCACTAAGAAAGTTTCAGATGGTTATTTCACAGCCTGTGGACCATACTGCCACGTCCAGCCCAATCTCTGGTGTCCCATGCGCCTGGCATATGGGCTCTGAAATGCTGCCTCAAATTCCTTCAGTGAAGCAGTAGAGATTCATGGTCCCAGAGCACAGTGGAGGAATCAAGGGCTGACGTTTAAATGCTTTTCTCTAATCAATCCTGTCATCTGCCTGTCTTGCAGGCTACAGACATGTCTCGAATTCAGGGCATCCCCCTACCTGCCCACACTCAGGTTCCAGTTCAGTGGAGACTTATTGTCCCTCAGGGATTATTTAGTTTTGTGTTTTTGTGTTTGTTAATGTTTTTCCTTTGTTCCTTCTGTAATGTTTCCATGGTTGATTTTGGGTACAGGAAAGAGTAGCCCATGTTTGATTGTCATTAGCTGCTATGGATAAGGTACTAAATCTGTAAATGAATTAAGGAAAATAGATATTCTTACAGTATCTGTGCCTCACGAATACACATAACATACTACTCTGGTTGAGACTACTTTTTCCTAAGTCAATCAGGAAATTCTTATTGTTGCCTCCATATAGATTATATACTTTTTTGTATAACAAAGTGAATCAGTTATACATATACATATGTTCCTATATCTCTTCCCTCTTGCGTCTCCCTCCCTTCTTCCCTCACTATCCCACCACTCTAGGTGGTCACAAAGCACCGAGCTGATCTCCCTGTGCTTTGCGGCTGCTTCCCACTAGCTATCAGTTTTATGTTTAGTAGTGTATATATGTCCATGCCACTCTCTCACTTTGTCTCAGCTTACCCTTGCTCCTCCCCGTATCCTCAAGTCCATTCTCCAGTAGGTTTGCATTTTTATTCCTGTCTTGCCCCTAGTTTTTCATGACCATTATTTTTTTTTAGATTCCATATATATGTGTTAGCATACAGTATTTGTTTTTCTCTTTCTGACTTACTTCCCTCTGTATGACAGTCTCTATGTCCATCACCTTGCTTCGAATACCTGTTTCATTCCTTTTTATGGCTGAGTAATATTCCATTGTATATATGTGCCACATCTTCTTTATCCATTCATCTGTTGATGGACACTTAGGTTGCTTCCATGTCCTGGCTATTGTAAATAGAGCTGCAATGAAGATTGTTGTACATGCCTCTTTTTGAATTATGGTTTTCTCACGGTATATGCCCATTAGTGGGATTGCTGGATCTTATAGTAGTTCTATTTTTACTTTATTAAGGAACGTCCATGCTGTTCTCCATAGTGGCTGTATCAATTTACATTCCCACCAACATCACAAGAGAGTTCCCTTTTCTCCACACCCTCTCCAGCATTTACTGTTTGTAGATTCTTTGATGATGGCCATTCTGACCAGTGTGAGATGATATCTCATTGTATTTTGCATGATATCTCATTTTGATTTGCATTTCTTTAATGACTAATGATGTTGAGCATTTCTTCAAATGTCTGTTGGCAATCTGTATGTCTTCTTTGGAGAAATGTCTATTTAGGTCTTTTGCCCATGTTTGGATTGGGTTGTTTATTTTTTTCATACTGAGCTGCATGAGTTGCTTGTATGTTTTGGACATTAATCCTTTGTCAGTTGCTTCATTTGCAAATAATTTCTGCCATTCTGAGGGTTGTTTTTTGGTCTTGTTTGTGGTTTCCTTTGCAGTGCAAAAGCTTTTAAGTTTCATTAGGTCCCATTTGTTTATTTCTGTTTTTACGTCCATTTCTCTAGGAGGTGGGTGGAAAAGGATCTTGCTGTGATTTATGTCATAGAGTGTTTTACCTGTATTTTCCTCTAAGAGTTTGATGGTGCCTGGCCTTACATTTAGGTCTTTAATCCATTTTGAGTTTATTTTTGTGTATGGTGTTAGGGAGTGTTCTAATTTCATTCTTTTACATGTAGCTGTGCAGCTTTCCCAGCACCACTTATTGAAGAGGCTGTCTTTTCTCCAGTGTATATTCTTGCCTCCTTTATAAAAGATAAGGTGACCGTATGTGCGTGGGTTTATCTCTGGACTTTCTATCCTTTTTCACTGATGTATATTTGTGTTTCTGTGCCAGTACCGTACTGTCTTGATCACTGTAGCTTTGTAGTACAGTCTAAAGTCAGGGAGCCTGATTCCTCCAGCTCCGTTTTTCTTTTTCAAGATTACTTTGGCTATTCTGGGTCTTTTGTGTTTCCATACAAGTTGCGAAATTTTTTGTTCTAGTTCTGTGAAAAATGCCAGTGGTAGTTTGATAGGGATTGCATTGAATCTGTAGCTTGCTTTGGGTAGTAGAATCATTTTCAGAATGTTGATTCTTCCAATCCAAGAACATGGTATATCTCTCCATCTATTTGTATCATCTTTAATTTCTTTCATCAGTGTCTTATAATTTTCTGTATACAGGTCTTTTGTCTCCTAAGGTAGGCTTATTCCTAGGTATTTTATTCTTTTTGTAGCAGTGGTGAATGGGAGTGTTTTCTTAACATCACTTTCAGA